GGGTTTTGCATGGTCCATGAGCCCTTTGGAGTAATAGTTTCTCACTCCAGCAGTAATGGGAAAGATTTTTTTAAAAGAAGAAGAAAACCAATGCTGGTAAGGTTATGGAGAGACTGACACCCTCATCAACTGCTGGACAAACAAGCCAGCCTTACTGCCATCTAATCAGTTCCAACGTACAGAGCTGGCACACGGTGCAGCCACTGTGGTGAGCGGTCTGGTGCTCCCGTGGAAAAGTGGAACTAGAAATGCAATGTGATGGATCCATCCTAACACCAGGTATATAGCCTAGAGAAATAACAGCCATCCCAAGAACAGGTAAGGAGCATGCTCACCCACGTTTATCACAGCAGTACTCAGTCACAAAAAGGTGGAAGCAATCTAATCTGCTCTTTTAAATCTCGAATGTGCTGAAATTTAAGACACACCCACCTGTCAGGGCCTCACAAACAAAGAAAACCCAAGTCCCAATGCCATTAGAACTCACTGTGTTTTGTGGGAGACACAATGTAAGCCCTTGGAGGACCACCATGTGTTGGGGTGACAGCTGGCCTCCTGGAAGTGGAGCCAGCAGAAGGTGCTTGTGTACGCTAGCAGAGCCAAGCGAGACAGTGTCTGGGGCCCTCAGGCAGCCTGGATAGTAACAAGATCACTCAGGCTGTAGTGCGGAGTCCCGGGTTTAGAATTCACTATCATGCATTTGTGTTACATTGTATAAGGGTGTCTTTCCTAAAAGGAAGAAGCATATAGTCTTACAGAAGAGTTAAGCAAAATAAAGGGAAGTACAGATCCTACTACTAACCAAGACACACCACTATTAACATTTTTAAGGAAAATCCCTTTACCCAGTCACTTTTAGTAAATTTGCATAGCCTTTCTTCATATAAGTGAGGTTATGCCATACATGCTATTTCTAACCTGCCTCTTTTTGGCAACATGTGATATGGACATCCTTTCATATTCACAGGCATCCCTTGATGCAGAAAGGACAGGCACTGTTTTCAACTTACGTATTCCCAGAGAGATACAGAGAAGGGTTAGCCATGGTCACCCAGCTAACAGGAAAGCCAGGAGTGGATAGTGCTGCCTTTGATCAAAGCACTAATCCAGATATATTTTTATGAGCCTCCTATTTGATGTGCCAAGAGCCTGGGTGACACCAGCAGTTTCCATAGGCTAGCGGTTGGTGGCACTGCGGCAGAAAGTACCTGGCAAACCGCTCCTATAAAGATCACAGTGAAGAAACCCCTGTGGCAGTTCTGGGCTGTCCCATGTGCTTTGCCTAGAGACCAGGGCCAACACGAAGGCAGCCAACAATAACATTTAATGCGTCAAATAGTATTGTTCCTTCAGCGGTAGGACTTCCTCCTCTACTAGAAGTTTGACTCATTACGAAAATCCATCAGTCATGTTCATGCTTCACTGGGGTTTAGGGCCAAGAAACAGGATATAGGGAATTCCTTGGGGTGGGGTGGGGTGGGATTCCACCCCTGCCCCCACTTCCCCATCACCGTCCTGTGTTGTTAGTACTGAAGTGACACTGATGGGTCTTCTCTAGAGTGCCGACTTTATTTTTATTGTTTAAGATGACAATAACTCATGCTTATTCAACACTCAATAGGCCAGGCACAGATGTAGATGGAAAATGTATACGTATCATTTTAGAGCGTCATTGAAACTTAATAACTTAACAAACCCAGGGACAAGGGAACAACAAGTGATCCAAAATCGAAGGTGAGGAGGGTGTAGGAGGCATAGTAGGGCTTGATCAAGGGCAGTGTGTAACCAAGAGGAATTACTGAAACCCAAATGAAGGCTGAGCTTGATAGTAGGACAAGAGGAAATTAAAAGGAAATAGAGGAAATAAGGAGGCAAAGGGCATTTATAGAGGTCTAAATACAGCCATGTAAATATGCAAATATATTTATATATGATGATGGGGAAATAGATCTATGTGCATATATTTATAGGTTTAGTATCAAGGTAGCAGATGGACATTGGGCCTCCACTCAAGCACTCCCTCAATGCAAGAACACTTTGTTCTATTAAACTGGCATTCCATGATGCTCACCTTCCCGACATGATTGCTGAAGACAAAGCGCGGCCTAAGCAAATGTAGTGAAGACAGCTGATGGTGCCCAGCTATCAAAAGACATAGCATCTGGGGTCTTAAAGGCTTGAAGGTAAACAAGCGGCCATCTAGCTGAGAAGCAACAAAGCCCACATGGAAGAAGCACACCAGCCTGTGTGATCACAAGGTGTTGATGGGATCAGGTGTCAGGCATCAAAGACCCAGAACAAAAAATTGTATCATTATGAATGAGGGGGAGTGCGGAGTGGAGACCCAAAGCCCATCTGTAGGCAACTGGAGATCCCCTTACAGAAGGGTCTCGGGGAGTAGACAAACTAGTCAAGGTGCAGTGTAGCAATGATGAAACATACAACTTTCCTCCTGTTCTTAAATTCTTCCTCCCCCCACAATCATGATCCCAATCCTACCTTACAAATCTGACTAGACCAGAGAATGTACACTGGTACAGATAGGAACTGGAAACACACGGAATCCAGGACAGATAAATACCTCAGAACCAATAATGAGCGTATCAATACCAGGAGGGTAAGGGGAACGTTGGGTAGAAAGGGGGAACTGATTACAAGGATCTACATATAACCCCCTCCCTTGGGGGCGGACAACAGAAAAGTGGGTGAAGGGAGATGTTGGACAGTGTAAGACATGACAAAATAATTCATACATTATCAAGGGTTCATGGGGGGTGGGGCAGGGAGAGGGGAAAATGTGAGGAGCTGATACCAAGGGCTCAAGTTAGAAAATGATGGCAACAAATGTACAAATGTGCTTGACACGATGGATGGATGGATTGAGATAAGAGTTTTACGGTCCCCCAATAAAATGATATTAAAAAAAGGAACTTAATAGTGACATACAATTCATCCATTTAATGAATACCATTCAGTGGTCCTTGTTAGTATATTCAGAGTTGTGTTCCCATTATTGCACTCAATTTTAGAGCATTTTTGTTCCCCTACAAAGAGAGCTGATCACCATGAGCAGTCCCTGTTTCTCTCTTCCCTCCAGCCTTTGGTAATCATGAGTCTGTTGGACCTCTGCTGACCCAGTGGGCCCTGCATTGAGTCACTAACCACAAGGTTGGTGGTTCAAACCATCATTCACTCCCTAGAACGATAAGGCTTTCTACTCCCAGCTGTAAAGAATTACAGTCTTGAAAACCCATGGGCAATTCTATCTTGTCTTGTAGGGGTCATTTTGAGTTAAATCAGCTCGATGACAGTAAGTTTGGGTTTTTTTAGTCTGTTTTCTGACTCTGTAGCTTTACCTATGCTGAACATCTCAGATCAATACAGTCAACACAATACACATATGTGGCTGTTATGTCTAGTTCCTTTCACACAGCCTGTAATGCTTTCGATGTTTACCCATGTCATAGCATGTGTCAGTATTTCATGCTCCGCAGAACCGTGATTTCATGGTATGGATTCATCCACAATTAGTTTATCCATCAGTCTGCTGGGCTGTTTTCTAGTTTTTAGTTCTTATGAGTCATACACCTACAGGGACCAGAGGTTCTCAGCATCATTCTGAATCCAGGCTGTACCAGTGGGCCTGAAAGTGTTTTTCTTCGAAATCTTGGGTGTCCTCTCACCCTTCTGCCTTTTCATTTTCCCTTCTTCCCTTTCCTAGGGATCTTGAAGCTAGAGCACAGAAGGAGTTCTTCCGGGCGTTCTTCAGGTTGCCAAGGAAGGAGAAGCTGCACGTGGTCATGGCCTGTTCCCTGTGGACGCCGTTTAGCCGCTGTCACACTGCGGGGCAGATGTTTACCTCTGACAGCTACATCTGCTTTGCTAGCAAAGAAGACGGCTGCTGTAACGTGGTCCTCCCACTCAGAGAGGTAGATGCCACTGTTCCCCTCTGTCACCTTTCTTCTCAGGAGTCCTGTTGGCGTAGTGGGCTACATGTCAGGCGGCACGCCACAAGATTAGCAGTTCAAACCCACCAGGGACTCTGCAGGAGAAAGTTGAGGCTTTCTGCTCTTGTTAAAGTCACAGCCTTGGAAACCCACAGGTGCAGTCCTACTGTGTTCTACAGGGTTGCGATGAGTTCGAATGGATTTGATGGCCGTGAGTTTGATTTTGAGTGGCGTAGTGGTTAACAGCTAGTCTACTAACCTCAAGGGCGGCGGTTCACACCCACCAGCTGCTCCATGGGAGAGAGCTGGGGCGGTCTGCTTCTATACGGTTCCAGCCCCATGGGGGAAGTCCTGCTTTGACCTTGGTGTCGCTGTGAGTGGGGATCCACTAGAAGGCAGTGGGTTTGTTTTGTTTTGTTTTTTCAGTCACCATAGCATGCACTTCCTCAAGCCAGCTTGTTGTCATTTGAACCTGCGGCTGCTGGCTCTGAGAGGAGCACCCGGAAGAGACGGGAACTCCGTCAGCATCCTCAACATCTGGAGCTGGACGTCTAGAGGTCTTGGCTTCTGGAGGGCAGCAGGGCCTGTATGTCACCACAGCCCATTTGGCCTTTGCTCATCCTGTTGAGGCTAGGACAACTGAGAGTTTGCATAGAAGCGGTGGGCCACACCAGAGCCCTCTCTCCGCCACGCTGCTGATAAAGCTGGCATGAAAGTGCCCATAGTGACCATGGTCCCGCAGCCTCCCGTAGCCTGAGACCAGAAGAGCTAGATGCTGCCCAGCTCCTGCTGCCAACTCTTCTGACCAGGGACACAATCGAAGGTGCCAGTGAGAGTGGGAGGGAAATGTAGACGAAAACTCAGATTCCTAGGAGAGACCAGACCTGCTGGCTGGGTAGGGACCAGAGAAACCCTGGTTGCCCTAAGAAACCCCTTAACCGGAACTGTAGCCACTCCCGCGGGTCTCCTTTCAGCCAGATAATAGATTGGCTAATAAATTAAGCAATACCACCTGTGAGGACTGTGCTTGAAATGATGACTCCCAGAGGCCAAAGGTCAGCCTTCACCCAGAAGCAGAGATGAATGACAAGGAGGGCCCGGGAAACCAGGTGGAAGGCAGGTGGGGTGGGAGTGAGAGAGCGCTGACATGTGGGCACTATCATGAAATCAGGGAATCATTCCTATGTGACTGTTGAAGGGGAATTAAATTTGCTATATGAACTTGCCCTGGAAGCACAATGCAATTAAAAAAACCAACAACATGTTTAAGCAATGGAAGTTCCTCCCCAAACTCTTAGGAATCCATCTGCACCTTTTTAAAAAAAATTATTTTACTGGGGGCTCGTATATCTCTTATAACAATCCATACATCCATTGTATCAAGCACATTTGTACATGTTGCCATCCTTTTCAAAACATTTTCTTTTGAGCTCTTGGTATCAGCTCCTCTTTTTTCCCCTTCCTCCCTCATCCTCATCTTTACCTTGTAAAAGTAAATAGCAAACTAATTTTTTGTTGTTTTTAAAGCCTTTTCATTGCGATTTGGGTGGAAGTTTACAGAGCAAGTGAGCTTGTCATTCAACACTTGGCCCTCCCTTCTTTCCTGCTATTGGTGGTAGTCCCCGGGGGGTAACAGCACTCTCCCCTCTTCCTCTCCAGTCTCCTGTCCATTCACTCTGTCCTGCCCTAGCCTGCCCGCTGGCCTTGGATTTAGAACTCACGCTGCCCTGTTGACTCCTCAGGCTGATGATGCCAAGGAGCATGCTTCTTTCTGTTCACTGTATAGGTCTGTCTACTGTTTGGCTCGCTAGACGCTCAGAAGAAAGATGGGGCAGCTTGCTTCTGTAAGGGTTTGCAGCCTCAGAAACCACAGGGAACATTTCCCCTCTGTCCCGTAGGCCACTCGGACTTGGAATTGACTCAGTGGCAATTGGAACTGAAAGTTACTATCTGGGAATAGATTCAGATCCAGACTTCAAGGGTGTCTAGGGGGCCACGGTGTGGGGGCTTCCGCCAGACTATCGGACTAGTAAGTCTGGTATTTTTTTAATGATTCTAGAATTTTGTTTTCCCAGGACCTTCTATTCAACCAGAGCAGTCAGAGGTAGCCAGGCACCATCTAGCTCTTCTGGTCTCAGGGTAATGGAAGCTGTGGTTCACGTGATCCTTTAGTATGTTGCACTAATTATCTCCTTGTGTCTCATTTCTGACTTCCTCTTTGCTCTGGGCAGGGAGAGATCAATCTGCATCTTCAGTGACCCCAGTGACAAGTTTTGAAGACCCTGGTTGCTGTTCACAAAGTCGGGTGCAGAGCATTGCCTTTGCAGACTCAGGACCCACAGTTGTCATCCTGAGCTGCCACCCCCACCCCTGGGGCATTAGTTACATATTAAAAGAAGCACTTTCAATTTTTATCTGCTCCCATCTTACCATGTTGTTCAGTGCCATCGAGTTGGGTTTGACTCACGGTGACCCTGTGTGACAGAGTAGAACCCACCCGTGGGTTTTTTAGGCTGTGATCCCTATGGGAGCTGATCACCAGGCCTTTCTTCCATGGTGGAGCTGCGAGGTGGGTTTGAAAGACCAACCCGTTAACGCACAGCCAGCACACAATCGCATCATTTCTTCTTCTTAAAATACTGTGATTCTGTTCTCGGAAAGTGGGGTGGGGAGGAGTCTTTAACGCCCAGACAGTGCTTTGCTTCTCTGGCTCTGAGAAGAGCCGGTGACTCAGACACCTCAAGGCCAGCACAGAGCCAGGTGGGCTGAGCCCTGCTGTTTGGAAGAACTCAAAGCTCGTTGGTACGTGTGCTCTCCTCCTGCCATGCCATCAATCTGCAGGAGATGGTTTCAGTTCACTAAGACTTGTGCTTGGAAGAGTCAAGGGAGAAATCCAGTGCTGCCCTCTTTATTTTTCATCTAGTGCACCCGTTCCTAACTGCAGTTATTTGGCCTCTCTACTTTGGAAGACTTTCTGGGCGTGCAGTGACATGTTCTCGCTCTCTGTGCTCTCTGGAAACAGGTAGTGAGCATTGAGAAGGTGGAGGACACCAGCCTGCTGCCCAACCCCATCATTGTCAGCATCAGGAGCAAGATGGCCTTCCAGTTCATCGAGCTCAAGGATCGAGACAGCCTGGTGGAGAGTCTCCTGGTGAGGCTGAAGCAGGTTCATGCCAACCATCCCGTGCATTATGACAGCTCAGGAAATGAAGATATGGTATGACACTGCCACGCCAGGGGAGTCTACATTGAAAACCCCATGTGTTGCCATCGCTAGGACATTGGTCTTCAAAGGGGGATTGCATGTAAAACTGTTCTGCCGAGGTCTAGGGAAAAACTGTGATTGATTATTGGGGCAGTCAGTGGGTCAGAGCGTGCAGGCTCGCTTCAGATACATGGAGTGTCCTGAGTGGATGCTCCCAGTGTAGTGGAGTTGGTTAGGGTGATTAATGCAGTTTCCCCCATAGGTTATAGGGGTTGATGCGACACCCCTTGACTGGTCAGATAGGTTGATAGGGACAGCTTTCACATGCTGGGGAATTTGATGGCATCTCTCCCACATGGCAGCAGGCTTGTATGTGCTCACAAGTTTGAAGGGTTGACTTAGCTTGGCTCTCCGTCTTCTACTTAGAAGGATTGACAATCGGTACCCCCCACATTTAGAGCCATTGGTGGAGAATATCCCTCTCATAAAAGGAAGTTATTTGGAGGCAAATGTAACTTTCTGAAAGAGAGGAACATTATCGTCCTTAAGAAAGGACAGCTGTAAACTTGGCCCCAGCATCCTTAAGGAAGGACAGCTGTAAACTTGGACCTGGGTCTTCCGGTACCCAGTCCTCTTGTCCTATCACATCTCTCCCTCCCTTCACCTGACACAGGGAGAGAAGGAGAGAAAGCATCTCTCTCTGTCCTGTAGAGTTGTTTTCTGGGGATACGGGCCTCCTCAGTTCAAGGAGGAGAAGGGATGCTGGGTTGGACTCATTGTAGCTTTCTGCCCACCACTTTGAGCTCGCGCTCTGTGCATCATCAGTGTGCTCTCACCGGAAAGCCCAGGCTAGGTCATTTGTTTCTAAGGATCATATCCTGTTGGAGTTCATGTTAGTCAGGGTAGAATTGCGCTCTATTGGGGTTTCTGTGGCTAATTCTTTGGGATTCGATGTCCAAGCCTTTCTCCAAGAGGCCTTTAGGTGTTCTCGAATCGATCATGAGCCTTTTAGCAGCCAACCACTTACAAATATTTGCACCATAAATACATAAACCCAGACAAAACCCAAGTTTGACTCATAGCAACCCAATAGGACAGAAGAGAACTTGCCCCTTTGGGTGTCAAAGATTGCAAATCTTCACGAGAACAAGCAGCCTCATCCCGAGCAGCAGTTGGTGGGATTGAACAGCTAACTTTGTGGTTAACAGCACAGTGCTTAGCCCAAAGTGCCGCCAGGGCTCCTGTGTTAGTCCGGGTAGACTAGAGAAACAAATTCATAGAGACTCATATGTGAATAAGAAAGAGGTTTATAAGGGATCAGGTATCAGACATAAAGAACAAAAACTCATATCATTGTGAATGAAGGGGAGGGCAGATTGGGGACCCAAGACCCATCTGTAGGCAACTGGACACCCCCTTACAGAAGGGTTGTGGGGAGAAGAGCCAGTCAGGGTGCAGTGTAGCAGCGATGAAACATACAGCTTTCCTCTAGTTTCTAAATGCTTGCTCCCCCACCCCACTATCATGATCCCAGTTCTACCTTACAAATCTGGCTAGACCAGAGGATGTACACTGGTACAGATAGGAACTGGAAACACAGGGAATCCAGGACT